TCTACTATAACGTAATGGCAATCAAGACAGTGTAGTGTAAAAATGAACAAACATATCAATAGAGTTGAATAGAGAAACTAGAAATGTCTCTCCACTTATATGTTCATTTGATTTTTTGATAAAATAGCCAAGGCAATCCATTAGGGACAGAAAAGCCTTTTCCATAAATACTGCTGGAACAACTGGGTATCTATATGCAAGGAAATGAAACTCAATCCCTGCCTCATGCAATAAACAAAAATTAATTTGAGATAGAACAATAGACTTAAATGTAAAAAGTGAAACTATGAATCTTTTATATGAAAACATAGACTATCTTTGTGATTTGGAGATAGACAAAGGTCTTTTAGAACAAAGAAAGCAATAATTGTAAATGAAAAATAATGAAAAATTAAACCTTAAAAATTTAATATATTTACTCATCAAAAAACACCATTAAGAAAATTAATAAACAAGCCTCGGGGTGGGAGAAAAATTTGCAAAACATATATCTGATAAAATACTGGTATCAAAATACATACAAAATTTTTGCAACTCAACCATAAATAAATTAAAAATTAACAAAAACATTGATAGAAAATTCAAAAGGGAAAAGATACAGCCAATGAATATATGAAAATGTGTCCAACATCATTAGTCATAAGGGAAATCCAAAATAAAACCACAATTAACTAACATAGCACACTCACTAGTTTGGCTAAACTTGAAAAGACTAACACCAGCAAATGTTGGGGAAGATAAGGAGTCATTGGAACATTTATATGTTGTTGGTGGAAGTGAAACATACAATTACTTTGAAGAAAGATCTGAAATTTTTTTCTAAAGCAACACATATACTTACTTTAAAATCCATCAATTCCCCTTATCAGTATTTACTCAAGAAAAATGCATACAAAAAATTACTAGTACAAGAAGGTTCATGGCAGGTTTATTTATATTAGGCCATAATCTGGAGAACAATGGATTAAAAAAACAGATATCTTTACACAAAGGGATACTACTCAGAAATAAAAAGGAATGAACTGCTGAAATAAGTAATAATGTGGATGAATCTGAAAATAACTATTGAGTGAATAAAGCCTTACATGAGAGAATATGTGTTGTTCTATTAATAGGAATTTCTAGAGCAAGCAAAAATCATCTATAGGGGGAAAAAAAGAGGGATATTTTCCTGTGGAGTGTTGAGAGATTGGCTGGGAAGTAGTACAAAGGCTTGAGATAACTTTCTGGGATATTATCAATATTCTATATTTTGGTTATACAGATTTGTTCATTTGTAGAAATTCATTGAATGATACACTCAAGGCATTATGCATTATTTTGTGTGAAAATTTTATCTCAAATGACACACACACACACACACACACACACACACACGCACACACAAATACGAGGTGGGCAGATCGCTTGAGTCCAGGAGTTTGATAACAGCCTCGGCAGCATGGTGAAACCCTGTCTCTACAAACAATACAAAAATTAGCCAGGCATGGTGGTGCGCACCTGTAGTCCCAGGCCTAGGTGGGAGGATCACTTGACCCTGGGGGTGGGGCAGAGGTTACAGTGAGCCAGATAGCACCACTGCAATCCAGCCTGGGTGACGAAGTGGGACCTTGTCAAAACAAACAAACAAACAAACCACCACCACACAACCATACACACACAAATAAATATAGTTGTTCCTTTGTCTCTCAGTATCAGCAAAGATTGTTTCCAGGATCCCTGCAGATATCGAAATCTACCCATATGATCCTCTGTTGACCCTGTGGAACCTGTAGATACAAAAAGGTTGGCCTTTCCATGCCTGGTAATTACTGAATTTTTGATCCATGGTTGATTGAATTCATAGATGTAGAACCCATGGATACATAGGGCAGATTGTATTAAACTGTAGTTAATTCTTAGGTATTTTAAGAGAAATATACTGATTTATCAACCTACTTTCAGATGCATTAAAAATAAGTTGAACTGATGTAGAAATACAGAAATGGACATATGGATGGAAAAATGTGATAAAACAAGTGAAGTTAAATGCTATTTGTAGAATATAGGTGGTGAGTGTTCACTATACAATTCTTCCCACTTTTCTGTATGTTTCAAAAATTTTATAGTAAAACGTTGGAAAAATACTGAGCAAAATGTGGTGTACTTAGGAAATGTTAAATAAATGAACTGTTTTTGCTATCCGTTTTTACTAAGTCTCATCGGAATACAGGGAACTCCTTTTGGCTACAAAATACAGAAGTTAGTTACATAATAACGATGATCATCATTTAAATAATGATTAAATTTCTTAAATCTTTAGAATATCCAGGGAACCAATATTCACATATCTTAAAATGTCTTAAAGTGAATTTGAAATTCCAGTATATATCTGTATCATCAATCTATCTGTACACATGTCTCTGTAAAAATATTTGTGAGAGAATATCTCTGGTTTGCTGTTACAATGAATAATCAGAGTATGGCTTTTCATTTCTAACGTCCCTGGCACATTTTGATTACAGCTTTCATTATATTGTCGAGTAATACAAAACCATAGCCTATCATCCTGAATTTGGTAAAATGTAAGGACATGTATGAAACATATTTCATTTTCAATGAATTATTTATATGACACACAGATGTGAAGGGTATATTATAAATACTCTTTTATCACATTCTGAAAATGTGCAGTGATTCTTTGTTCATTACAATTGCAGCATAGAACTTCTTAGAATATACTTGGAATATACAGATACAACTTCTCTTCTCAAACAACTGGAAAACTAATAGAACATGTTGGTTTTGCATCTAAAATGAGCTTGCAATAACAAAAATATTATTTCAAAATCATGAATTTTAATTTAATGAAAAATATGGATGAAATGTTATGGTTAGGTATCTCAGCATTTTAAATGCCAACTCCATTGTTATATTTGAGAATACAGGAAAGAATATATTACCTAGTTGCCTTAAAAATAAAGTAAATCAACTTTAAGTACATATTTTAAACTCCTCTACTCTAATTTGTAATTTGTTATTTAAAATTAACAACTCAAGATTTTGGTAAACTATATACAAGAAAATATAGAAATGCTTTAAATTATAAAATTTAAAATTATGTCAGGTATGAAAAATAGAAAAAACTCTTATTCTAATAAAATATATTGAAGGTATATATATTACAGGAAACTCTCTTTGGCACTCATTCAGGTACACCACTCAGCTCTTCCGTCAAGAAAGAAAACTGCTGTTTAGTTACAAGGAGTAGAATTAGCTGGCAGCCTCCAGTGATACCATCTTCAAAGTATGCATTGAAAGCCAATGCACACTTTTTGGACAATTTCCACCAACTGACTGAGCACCATGAGGTACTGATGCCTGGCCATTTCTGCCTAGTGCAGCACTTCTCTAACATCAGTCTTTGCTCCTGAGCTCTCTCTTGGGTTGGCTGAGACTTTATCAAATTTGCACCTGTGTCTGAGGTTTTCTTTGACTTGCTTCCTCCCCACTTGCCTTTCAAAGGTATCAAATCAACATCTCAGGCTTAAGGCTTTCTCTGCCCAATCCTGCTTCTTCCCCCATTTACCTTTCACAGAAGTTATTTCTCCAGCATTCCCTGAAACCTCTTCTAATCCTCATTTAATCTGGATCATCTTCTTGGTGGGTAAACAGTTCTGAATTGTTGTGGGATAGTAACTAGTATTAATACAGTATACTTAATATTGGAATGAAAGCTAAAATAATAATCACACATATAAATTGTGTTTCTGCACATTCTTATATTCCCAAGGTTAATTGTTTAAAATTAGACAAAATGGGTACTATGAAAAAGCTATTCACAGACTCTGGATCTTCACATAAAAAAGTAAGATTTGTGATCAGAAATTTGATTGATTGACTAGGGTGTAGTCACTCGAGGACTTGCTCTGGAGTACCAACATTTCTTCAGAGGTTGATAAAATTATAAATAATGACTTAACAATTGCTCCCCTTTAATCACCTAATGCCATCAATTCTGACATGTGTTCTTTTTTTGTCAGTCTCTCTGACGTCATCTTTAACAAATGGATAAATAAATTACAGCTAATATATTTGTTTAGATGCCAGACACGGTGCTATGCTCTTTACATACATTATTCCTTCTAATCATCACTTCTACCCATAATAGTTTGGTTCTATTATTATCCCCATTTTACAAATAATGAATCCAAAACTAGGAAAGGATAAGCACTGCATCTAATGTTCTAGATTAAAGTCCAATAAATGTTTGGTCCCAGTTAACTCATCTCTGAAAGACTAAGAGATTTCATAAGTTTCACCTTGATACATAGTGGAGCTGGAACTAGAATCCAGGTCTTCTGACATCTCACTTTGTGCTATTATCTCTAAACCGTTACTTTCACTTTTAATGCTAAAAGCTGTGATTCTTCATCTAAGACATTTGAATCCTGAATTCCTTTAGTCAAACAAACATCCAGCTTTCAGAACACAAAAATAAAAAGTGGCAATATTTAGTAATTTTCTCTTTTCTTTCTACTTAGTTTGAATGTTTGTTGGCCATTCCGTCTTCAGCTCTAATGTATCTTAAATTTCATCACAATCTGAATTGATTTTCCTAAATCTATTAGTGCTGGAAGAAGGAGCCAAGTCTCATATAATCCTTGGGAAGAACCCCAACAAAGCCTGACCTTAATAAATATTTTTGGATGATACTTTCTTCCTTCCCTTTTGATAATCAGCTGTAGACTTTAGGGTATTTTGCCCTAATTCAATCCAAAAAGTAGGGAACAATTTGTTCCCAAATAATTACAAACTTCCAATATAAAACATTTGAGTAAAGCCCAATTCCTAATTGCTAAAACATTGAGATGATTTTATCAGATGCAACCTGGGATCCCACTACTCCTTTCACTTCAGCCCTTTATTGTCTAACCATAAGTAGTTATTATTATCCCAAAGAAGAAAAAAGAAATTCTGTTTATTTTGTAACTTTCCTGTTTCCTGTTTCTGTTCAATAGGCATCTCCGAGTCATCCCGGGCAAAACAGCAAGCTGGGTCTCAGGATAGCTCTAAAAGCATCTATTTCAGTATGGTTCTGTAAGGTAAGATAACAACAGAGATTCAACATCATTGAAATGTTTGAAAGCAGATACAAAGGGAATCCTTTTGGTCCAGCAGAAGGCAATTTCAGCTTGAAAGGGCTTTGAGCCTTGTATAAGATGAGTGGTACATTGAGACAGTAAGGGAGGAGACCACCCCTCATATTGTCTTGTGCCCAATTTCTGCCTCCAAAGAAAGAAGAAGTAAAAACTAAAAGGCAGAAATGAAATCCACAGGCAGACAGCCCAGCGCCACACCCTGGGCCTGGTAGTTAAAGATCCGACCCCTGACCTAATTGGTTCTGTTATCTATAGATTACAGACATTGTATAGAAATGCACTGTGAAAATCCCTATCTTGTTTTGTTCCGATCTAATTATCGGTGCAAACAGTCCCCAGTCACGTACCCCCTGCTTGCTCAATCAATCATGACCCTCTCACGTGCACCCCCTTAGAGTTGTGAGCCCTTAAAAGGGACAGGAATTGGTTACTCGGGGAGCTCGGCTCTTGAGACTGAAGTCTTGCCGATGCCCCCGGCCGAATAAATCTGTAACTCGGTGTCTGAGGAGTTTTGTCTGCCGCTGGTCCTGCTACAACAGAAGAGAAGAATCAAAGTGAGATGGGGTGTTATGGGCTGCAGGCATATTGTTTCATTGTTTTAGACTATTAATCTTAAAAAACAAGGATGAGAAGAGAAGATTGGATGAAGTGATGCTTATATGCCACAGGAGCTTTGAATTTTCATAAAATTTGTGTCTTATATATGTGTTTTTAAGCTAATAATTTACAGAAATTTAAATCAATCTATAAGAAAACCCTTCATCAGAAGTGATTAGGACTGGAACTGGTTTGTTAATTGGCAAAGTTGGCCAAATAAGAGAATTGAAAAATTTAACATAAAGATAACATGTGCATTTATTTATCAGGTGTTTTTTTTTTTTTTGACGTAAAGCCCAAGCCTCTTCTTTGAGTATGGCTCCACCAATAAATGTTCCAGGTAGTCATTCTTGAATTAACCACATCAATGGTAGCAGTAATAATATTAATATTAATAATTGAGCACTACTATGCACTAGCTATTACTAATCCTCCCAGTATCTCTTGGAGGTAGCAACTATTATTATCCTCATTTTACATATGAGGGTAAGAAACTTGCCTAAAATTTATGATTAGTAAATGGTAGATATAAAATTAAAGCACAGGATGTCTGGCTCTTAAGTTGTACTCTTAATCAGGACAACAGCATCTCTGACTTCCATTTTTGGATGTCTTTAGAGGAGGAACTTTAAGAAACTGAAGACATTTGGGAAGCAATCTAACTATGGAATCCTTCCAGATTCTTTATGATCGCTTTCAAAACTTTTAAGTTGTCTCCCCCATACATACTTTAGCAACAATTTTTATTAGCTATTCATTAGCATTAAATCTTTCCAAAGCATTTTTAAGGAAACAAGAAATTTCTTTTTAATTTGTATCTATCATTTTAGTCAAATTACTTAATTTGACTGTCATTTAGTCAAATTATGTAATTAAAACTGTGTATAAAGGATCACAATAGTTATGATCAAATGACAGGTGTACAATTAAAGTAAATAGTTTAGGGATAAAATACAACTGTTTTTAGAACACAGCACTTAAGTGGAGGAATCAGAAGTAAGCAGGAGTATTATTGTCCAAGAATATTCGAGGTGCTGTGAACGTAAGTTTCTATGTGTTACAGTTGAAACGGAGATCATCAGTTAATCTACAACTACTTTAAGAGAAGGTCAGTTAAGACAGTTTTTGCCGTATTTATATTTCATTTGCGTTTTACCACTATCACAAGTGGTATAGCAATATTGCATATTATAACAGTACCGTCATATGATTCCAGGGGAATGTGCTACAGCACTGTATTTATTTTCCATTTTATATTAAAAATCCAACATGTCAGATAGTTTAAAGATAGATAGACAGATAGATAGATAATGATATGCCTCCATCTATCTATCCATCTATATTTCCACATATATATAACCTTGTAATATACATATTATATGTATGTAATAGCCTTTTTTAAAGCTTTCAGATCTATTCAAATTGACTTGCTGTTTCCTACTGTTGCTGTAACAAATAACCACAAACTTAGAGACTTAAAACAACATATATTTAATATCTCACAGTTCTGGAGTTCAGAACTGTTTAAAGTCCAAAAAAGTCTAAAATTAAGATGTTGGCAGAGTATATTTCTTCTAGAGGCTTCATCAGATGATTTGCTTCTATGCCTTTTGCAAATTCTGGAAGTTGCCAGCATTTCTTAGCTAATGGTTCCCTTCATCCTCTTCCTCACATCACTCCAACTTCTTGCTTCCATTGTCACATTTCCTCTTCTGTCACCAAATCTCTTCTTTTTCCTTGTTGTAAGAATCTTTCTGATTATGTTTAAGGCCTATTTGAAAAATCCAGTATAATCTTAACATCTCAAAATTCATAACTTAATCACATTTGCGAAGTTCCTTTTTCCATGTTAGATAATACATTTGCAAGTTCCAAAGCCTAGGACATGTATACCTTTAGTGGGCATTATTTGGCCTGCTACACTTGGCTTAATTAGAGACAAATTTCCAAAAGTAAACTAAAAAGTTAATCACATTGATATTTTAAGCAGGGATTATACCTAGAATGCCTAAACTGTGAGAAAATAAGCAGTAATCTCTTTTGAAAGCAATTTAAGAACTTTGTGTCATGTGCGTCCCTGTGAAGAGACCACCAAACAGGATTTGTGTGAGCAATAAAGCTTTTTTTTTTTTTTTGAGACGGAGTCTCGCTCTGTCACCCAGGCTGGAGTGCAGTGGCCGGATCTCAGCTCACTGCAAGCTCCGCCTCCCGGGTTCACGCCATTCTCCTGCCTCAGCCTCCCGAGTAGTTGGGACTACAGGCGCCTGCCACCTCGCCCGGCTAAGTTTTTGTATTTTTAGTAGAGACGGGGTTTCACTGTGTTAGCCAGGATGGTCTCGATCTCCTGACCTCGTGATCCGCCCGTCTCGGCCTCCCAAAGTGCTGGGATTACAGGCTTGAGCCACCGCGCCCGGCCGAGCAATAAAGCTTTTTAATCACCTGGGTGCAGGCGGTCTGGGTCCGAAAAGAGAGTCCGGGAAGGGAGATAAGGGTGGGGCCGTTTTATAGGATTTGGGTAGGTAAAGGAAAATTACAGTCATAGGGGGGTTGTTCTCTGGCGGGCAGGAGTGGGAGTCAGAAGGTGCTCAGTGGGGGAGCTTTTTGAGCCAGGATGAGCGAGGAAAAGGAATTTCACAAGGTAATGTCATCGCTTAAGGCAAGGACCAGCCATTTTCACTTCTTTTGTGGTGGAATGTCATCAGTTAAGGCGGGGCAGGCCCTTTTCACTTCTTTTGTGATTCTTCAGTTACTTCAGGCCATCTGGGCGGGCGGACGTGCAAGTCACAGGAGATGCGGACGTGCAAGTCACAGGCGTATACGTGCAAGTCACAGGGGATGCGATGACTTGCCTTGGGCTCAGAGGCCGGACACTTTGGTAATGGAGATTTTCAGATTGAATTTGTGAACTTGTAGCATATACGGCCCATTTCCTTTTAAAACGACATCTATTTGAATTGTAAAGAAAAATCCTCCGTACTTCTCACATGCCTTCCCTCTTTCCCTCCTTTGTTTTCAGCTTCTTCCCTATTTTCTTCCTTGCCTTCTTTCAGTTATGCTCCCCTGCATATTATTTAATGACTCTATGTAAGTTCTTGAGCTTTTACAGCCATTTCTTATTCAATTTTGAACTCAATAATAAGTAAAATCTAGCCTGAGTGTGCATTTTTCTCTGTTGTCAGTCCTAAATGGAAGTACTCGTTTGAAAAAAAGATGCTAGACATACATATAAAATACCAAGATAAAAATAAACAGAATAACTTCTTTTTCTTGCATCCAGTGAGGAAATTGTCAGATTGCTCTTTCCCCAACTCGGACCATAAAATCAGATTCATTAGTTTTACCTCATGCTCTTTATTTCAGTTGGGAAGAAACTCTGACTCACTTTGGCTAGGCTGAAGTCCCAGTGGGCTCTTAGGGGTAATGTTACTTGGTTTAGGGGTGACATCATTTTTTTCTATATTGAAAGCTAATAAGTTATCTCTAACTTTTTCCATCAAGGAACTAGCAGGAAGGATTTTTCTTGATTTAAGGAATTTTGCTTGTGGCTTACTACTTCCTTTACTTTTCCTTTTAAATATTTTAAACCCATATCTTTATAACATTTTCACTCTGTTTCAATCATTTAGTTGCTTTATGCTCTTCTAATGTCAATGTCTCAAATCTCCCACTCGATTTCTATGGACCACCTACTCAGCTAACCAGCTGTTCTTGATTTTATACTAGATTTTCTCTCTATATCCATTTATGAACATCATTAAATTTTCATTACAAAAGTTTTCTAAATATTAAATAGTGATTGAATGATGGGATTATGAGTTATGTTTGTTTATCTTTTGACTTTTGGGGATTATTTTTCAAGTACTTTATATTACATAAATTCTATAGTAGAAAATACTGTAGACTATACTTAATATAATTTTTTTTTGCTAAAATCTATTGTGGAAGAGACGATGGCTTTTTTGGAAAAATCTTTTTTTTTTTTTTTTTTTTTTTTTTTGAGACGGAGTCTCGCTGTCTCCCAGGCTGGAGTGCAGTGGCGCGATCTCCACTCACTGCAAGCTCCATCGCCTCCCGGGTTCATGCCATTCTCCTGCCTCAGCCTCCCGAGTAGTTGGGACTACAGGCGCCCGCCACCGCGCCCGGCTAGTCTTTTGTATTTTTTAGTAGAGACGGGGTTTCACCGTGTTAGCCAGGATGGTCTCTATCTCCTGACCTCGTGATCCGCCCGTCTCGGCCTCCCAAAGTGCTGGGATTACAGGCTTGAGCCACCGCGCCCGGCCGAAAAATCATTTTTGATACTTTCTCTACAAAAATATCATATTGTGTATATCTTTTACTTTCTCTCT